TATATCAGATACCACCAACGCATTCGGAAATTTTTCGTACCTCGTTTCACGTAAACATTATAGAAACAATAATCAATGTTTTAAATATTGACTTTCTCGTAACTTAAACAGATGAATTTCTCTATTGCTTGTTATCATTATGCTTTCACTCGTCTTTGACATCTAGATGATAATATTTACTCTAACTCAGAGTATTTTCTTCCTGTACCAGCATTTTATTATGACGATTTTCTTAACTTGGTCTGCATTAAAAATATTTTCTTTGCTGCATTTTTCTCGTTTATTGTTATCCCACTAACAAGCAAAAATATTTGTTAAAAACAGCAACTTTAAAAATATCATGGCGCTGGAATGGCGAAAATAAGAAAAATAAGACCTCAGCTAATTAACTAAAGGTCATGTTGATAATCCATTTTCTACCAAAACAACGACTAATCATCTATAAAAAAATCGCGAAAAGAAAAAGACAAAAAGAATCAACAAAACCCTTTTCACCAATTAACTGCAAAAATTATACACCTACGAAGAAAATTATTAGTAGTCTTATTTCTATTCTACCGTACCTAGATCACTAACTACCCAGCAAACTCACCTCAGTTCTTTCGGTTTAATGTACTGTGAAGTTGGGAAGATAGATCTCAGGTAGAGTAACACTGACGTGAAATTAGACATTACAGGTGATCAAGGAAAGCTGCATTAAATGAAGCAGTTTCAATCACATACATATAAATTCGTGTACTTTATACTGACAGAAATAATTAATCGAACATTTACTTTTGTTGAATCTCGTATACAATGGATAATAAAATCATTATAGTTAGAGCAACAAAGGTAACCAGTTACGTAAACAATACATTTGTATGCTTTGTCCACTTTACTACCCCGTGCTTATACATATCGACTAACGCGTACACTGTTTAAGGAAATGGTAATGCGACATCACAAAATAGATATAAGCTGACACCCGAAGCGTCACTCTGAACGCGGCCCTTTGATGAAAGTTTAATGATTTTCTTAACCTTGAACGGTTAGTTACGTTGAAACTGGCATGAGCGATGCTTGAAATTAGAAAATATAAAGTACCCACGAAACTATCCAGACTCTTTTTTCTTGATTTTTGTTGTCGTTTCTTCTATATACAGCATTCCATATTGTAGCTAGCATTACATTTGAAATTGATCTTCACACGATTGATAATATTTGTTTGCCAAGATTAACATTGTAATTTATAAATAAATTGACTTTCAACTGTTCTTAAAATAAATAAAATTTACTTTATCACCAACATGAACTGATCACGTATGAATCTTACTGGAAAACTTATAAATACAATAATTTATTAGAATCATTTAGTTTGCACTAAATAGATTTGTCTGTTGTGTATTAATGGCAGTGTGCACTCGACTTGATTGTTTTCAAATTCCGCAAATTAAAATTAATTCAATAACAAATAACACAGAGATAAATTGATTTATTTAAATTTGTAGGTGATGCAGTTTTTTTACAAACTTGAACCAAACCAAAGAACACGTTAAACTTTTGATGTTAGGTAACCCCGAATTTTAGCTGGGGCTAGCATGTGGCTCAATATTTATTAAATCAAATGAACGACTATTGTAGGTAAAACTGTACATCGATATTTCATTAAATTTAATACAATAGAAACGTAAAATTAGACGAACGTTATGTTCTCTATTAATTATTCGTAGTTATTTGAATAGTTTTTTCAGTTGTTTGATGTTTACTTCGCTTTCATTAATGCACTCACATGTTTGAACCATGGTTGGTGTACAATAATTCCAATTATAAATAGCACTACACAAAATATCCACATACCAAATTTAATTAGGTGTACTGAATTTATGACAATTTATCTAAATGAAGAGCACAGGAATTTGTGTTGTTCTGACTTTATCACTACTTTTTATTGTATTATTTAGATAGTAAAATATAATTGTAGATATGACGAGGTGTTATAATGATGCATCCAATTATCAAACAGATCCAACATCCAGCAATGTTGGTTATAGCATTTGATTTGTTCTTTTTTACGGTTGCAAATGTTTTTTTTTATGTTCAAGTCACGAATTCGATTCCCGTTTCAACTCAGTCACAGCGAACTGTGTACCTTCTTACAGTACTCATTTCCTTTTGGGAGACTTTTGTTTACCAGTGATATAGAAGTAGTCTTAAACTTTTTTTTCCTATTCTTTTTCTTGCCCATTTTTGTCAATGTAGAGCAACTAGCACCAACTAATTAACATTGAGTCACTTTCATAATCACCAGTCAGAACTAGTCTGAGTAGACATGAAATGTTATGGCTATTTCACCGATCACGTCCCAAACAGAAACCTCTAGAACTCTACAAGTACTTCTTCCACATTTTTTTAGGTTCCTCTCTAGTTACTAAGCAATTTGACAATAACTCATGTTTCATCCGTACTGTCTTCACCAACAGAATGTTCCAGGGGGAAAAGAATAAAAGGTTATTCTTCTACACAGTGAACAGTCTAAGGTCCGTTTCTATTAAAATGCTTTATCATAACTTTCTCGACACTCTCCTCCAACCGGTTTTTTTTTTCTCTTCCACTTCAAGTCTAACCTTGACGTGTATACTTCCTGTCGTTACTTTCAGATTTTACATTTTTTAGAATGTTTCCCAAAAATTTTGTATTCAATTTTTGTTGATGAGATTGTTTCGACATTTTCGAAAATTCACAGAATAAGCCTATTTTTTTAATGTGACCTGCTAGAACTTTCCCCGCAGTCCTGAACCGTCTTAAAGTATCAATTATCTTTTTTGAGCTGTAGCATTGTACTGCAGTAGAACTTTTCATGTGTTTCCTTCCTTCTAATTTGTCCACAATCGTCTTGAATTTTCATTTACTGATTGTTTATTCAATTCAAGTTATGCGCTGAATTCGAATTTTTTTTATCCTTTTTTTGCAACAGAACAGATTTTTTTGGAACTTCCATGCTAACTGACTTTCCTACTCATTATTATCTTTAATAAAAATTAAAATTTTTCGACCCCTTTTTACTTCCATAGCCTAAGCTAAGAAAGTATTGTAATAGTGACCATCAGACGAATAGCTAGTTACAGTTTTCTCGACGTTTCATGCATGACCACAAGAGTACGAAAAAATAATGTAATGAAGTCACTTCAAAATTGTACAGAGTAAATTAAAATTTAATAAAATTACATACTCCTTCACGTGTAGTTTATGAATCCGTCTTGATTTTTTCCCATAGGCAAATAAATTTTTAGGAAAGATCAGAACATTTTACAATTTGAAACTGCAAAACCGAATGCTCTTGCAAATGGTTTAACGTTATAGTAATCACAATAAATATTTAATCAAAATGTATTCGTTTACCATCTCCCCAAAAAGCTGATGACGTCATCTCAAAATTTTGCTGAATAAATCATATCTAAAATGTGCAAAAAAAAATTATATGATGGGGATTTGAACACAGTTTGAGCTCTTTTGACCTATGCTAAGACCTCCATCTTTTCCTGTCGACAGGTGATTGACCTCTTCTAGGACTACCATCATACCATTTTGACCTGTCTTAGCATCCCCATCATTTGTCCGCCAATTTGACCTGTTCTGGCACCCCCTTCATTTTCTGTCGCCCAATTTAACAATCTTATTAGGACCCCCATACATGTTTTGTCGACCCGTTTGACCTATCTTAGAACCGGCATAATTTTTATGACTTTATGCTTGTGGTTTATCAATGCATTCATTTTACTTATACAAGGTGTCTAAAAAGTAAATAATAAATGAGTCAATTTATTTTATTGATTAAATCAAAAACGACTCACTCCATATTCGCAAAATTTTCGAATAGAATACTGTTGTTATTGGTATTATGATACAAATTTTATAATAAGCATTTTGTCGCATGCATGGTTTTAGCAATAAGTGCTACAAAATGTCTTAAAAACGAGGAATCATAAAGCATTTTCTCTAGTTTGCGCCTTTTTAAACGAAACAATGAAATTTCGAAATCTAGGAAATTTTGCGGTAATTTTTATTTGTAAAAATGAAATCAGGACGTGCCGAAGAAGTTGTAGAATGTACTCCTTCAGAAATACGGGCTTTAGCTGCAAATACAGGATTTCTATAAATGATTATATCGTCGAAGTAAGTCATGGCAGCGTGCCGCCTATCATTTATGTGGACTTTACTAAATTCCTAAGAACTCACGACGAATACCAAACGCATCTTTATAATTGGTTGCCTAAATGGCAGAGCGCCAAAAGTTACACATAATATATAACTGTGTTTAAACAGCTATAATTTTGTAGAATTGATTTATATTGTTTTATTTATGAATGACAATTGTATTTCCTCATTTGTATTGTGGTTTTTCGTTGTCTAAATAAACTAAGTTGTAGTTCTACATATTCACATCATATACCCACTGAGAATGAGTCATTGTAAAAAAATATTTACAAAAACAATAATTATGTGTGTATATTCATCAGGAAACAATGCAAGATGATGATATGCTACTCTGCAAATATTTTTTGCCATTTCTTAATTAAAACCCGTACATTTTCACCAAGAGCGGTCATTTTACAATCGCCACCAGCACTAACAACGTAGCGTCCAAATCTCGTAATCACGTCATAAAATTTTAGTGGACACAAAAATAACGTTCCGTGTATATCGTAAATTTAATAATAAATAGTCTTTAGTACTCAAGAGCAAAAAAATTGGCAAAAATGTATGAAATTTATAGTTTACTTGTTAGAAAATTTTGTGTATCTCGAAATTATTAAAATGTTAGTGGTTTTTCGTCAAAGGAACGAATAATTCCGTATATCAAGCGATAAAACAGTTACATAAAAAATTGACAAAAATTTTCTTTTGAAACGAGTTCACGGTATTGAATTTTATATGACACGCATCAGTGAAACCGAACGTGTCCCAACGTAATCACCTAATGTAATACTTATTTTTCTGATTGTTTTTATGTTCGATTTCAGGAGCTTCCACACCAATAAAACATATATCTCTGAAAAATATGCTGCCAGACACAGAGCACTTCATGACATATGAAGGCTCCACGACTCATCCAGGCTGTTGGGAAACTACTGTTTGGATCATCCTTAATAAGCCCATTTATATTACCTACCACGAGGTAAGAAATCGGTGGCAGAAAACATAGAACAGGAACACCACTTGTTTTTTGATTTATTACGTCTGAATTGTTATGCCACGAACTGCACACAAACAAAGCTATTAATTCAATTCCTTTTAAGCGAATCGATACGCGCCAATACAGGAAAAAATGATATAACTAAATGCAAACACACACGCAGCGATTTCTATTTGCATTGTATTACGCGATTTTGCGAATGTTTTGAGAGCGGGTCGTGTGTGCCAGCCGCATCGACCCCTCGAAAGCATTACAAATTTACGCAGTGTCATTTATATATTGCTGCAAGATGTAAACGTCACATAAATGTTATGAGTAAAGCAGCTTGAAAGACAGAGTTGGCAGGCACTCACAGGGCTGAAGGACAAGCTACACCAGCCCCTCTTTAGCACGCCGTCAGATTTTTTCACTCATAAATTGCATTAAATTCTCGCCGACAATCAGGACGAATTATTTTTATTTTTTCCCCGCAACATCTGAAAGTGCTGCATGGGGGCTTTCTATGGTCATTGACAGCACACTAGGGACTCGTTTTAGCGACTCAGGCCCGCCGAGAATTGATGAATGCGGTAATTTATTACAGCGATAAAATTACCTCTATTAATTTTGTCGGATTTAATCCATTACCGTTTAATTATATCAAATTAATTTTTTAACGATAGCCGACACATAAGCCGATACTTTTGGTCTTATTAGAGTCTTTTAGTATTTGACCTAGTATTTTGCATGTAAATGACATGACGTAGCTCGGTAATACCTTAGATATGGAGTTCGATTTTAGGGTTTAAATTATACGCTGGAATAATTATCCTCAGCCGATCGGTTACAGTAATAATACTAAATATTTGAACAAGTGCATTTACGTTCCATGTATTAGAATTATGTACATTAATAAAGTGATTATACACATAATATATGTTTCTAAAACAGAGGACAAAAGCTCTTACGTTAATAATTTACAACACTTTTGAAAATGGCATGTAGTATTATGTACATATGTCAAAACACTAATACAAATTTATACCACCTGCTGTTGCACAGTGTTCGAGAACCTGTTCGACCATTTTTCTCATGACAGAGTTTTAACTCCTGGATTCTGTGCTATTTTTACCTGGAATATCGTGGAGAGATTTTAATTTTTTGGATTATTTGTCAACAGATTTCTAAACAATTACTAGGCTGAAATTAAAACTTCACTTCAGTTTCTAAAATTCTTCATTAATTTGTCTTCACCCAAGTTCTTATTCATGAACCCGTTTTTATTTCCACAATCAATTCCTTTTCGAATAAAACTTTCTAAATCTTTTCCAAATATGATCATTCGATTGTAGAACTTTTTAAATTCTTATAGGCTTTTAGAGCTTCATGAAAACTTTGGATTCTCGGTCATTTTTTGACAACCGAACTAGTCGGCATTATTTCAATTGGCAAAAGTAGCCTTGTCCTCGGTGGAATTTTCTACAACCAACATAGAACTGGAGTTTCCAAAATTCTTCTGAATTCACTCTTTCCTCAGCTAATGTGAGTATTAGAAAAGAAACCGATTTCTGAAGCAATGAAAAGAAACATAAACCACAAAATAAGAAGTTGTAAGTTGAAGAATATAGAAATAGGAAGTAACAAAAAGAACTAGAAAAAGTTCGCAATGAAATGAGATCAAGCCAAAAATACAGATCGATTGGGAAATGTTTAAAAATCCGGTAACAAAAACCAGAATAAAAATGTGTGTAACTCTTACAATTAAAAAAAAAAGAGACCCAAAGGACTATATGATGAGAGTCAAAATATTAAAAGCATAGTAAAAGAGAAAAAAAGAAATTTGAAAAAATACTTGACCACAAACACAGAAATTAATTACCCGGAGAACAAAAAAGTGAATGTTAAGGTTCCGTAGAAATAAAAAAAGAAAAAAAATAATCAAAGATTATTTCGACCCTAATGTACAATGCGAATTTAATATTTTTTTGTGAGCCCCTATAAGTTAAAATAAAAATATGTACGTAATGTCAAAATCTACTACTAGCGTAAATAATAAACCAATATTCAAGAAAGAAAATAGTTGGAACTGTGATAATTACTAAGGAATATCATTTATCAGTGTAGATGAAAATTTTATTCAAGATTTCTCGAGAAAAGGTTCAAAAGCATAAAGGCTAGTCAGTGGAAGAAGCCGAATATGACTGTAAAAACCGTGAAGAAATACAAGATCTGGTACTTTCAATAAGACAGATTATAGAGAAGACCATAAAAAACAACCCATGAACAAATGTATATTACATAGATGTATAAAAAGAACTTTCGACAAACTGAAGGGACCAAAAATATGGAATAAATTAAAAAAGAGGAATCCTCAAGAAATAGTAGCAATAGTTAGAAATCTATACAGCAATTAAAGATCATACATGAAATTTCAGAGAAACTCAGAACTTGGGAAGGAGTAAGTCAAGAAATTATCAGGTGTAATTAGAAAGTTGAAGATCATTATTAACGTAAACAAAACAAAAACAGTGATTGCAGTGTGGGGTGATCAGGTGATTGAAACAGTACTTGCGTTTTGGCGTATTTATTTTGATGTTGTCGGTACGGTAGATGAAGGAAAAATCTTGGAGTTTGTGAACTTGAAATGAAAAGAAAGGTCAGTAGAAAGCGGTGGAAACAGTTGTGTCTAAAGGGTTCTTGGAAGGTACAGAGTCATCAAAATTGATTGAGAGAGTTGGTACTCCCTGTTTTTGCCGTGAAGTTTTTCAATCTTATGACAGATTTGTTTAAGGTTATGTGGCGATGAATTCAGTGGCGTGACAAGAGAACTGGGGGTTGATTGTCAAACTCACCTGAATCAGTTGTGGATAATAATTCCACGCCCCAAATTCGTCTTGAGTACCACTCCGGAAATATGCCATCACTAAAAAAGTGTTCTGCTCTACAGACATAGGCATATTAGGAAACGTAATCGAACAAATCTAAAATTCGAAACTTCAAATCTGACAACTAGTATTTTTTACCAAAAAAAAATCTAAAAAAGACGCCACTGAGTTTTGAAATTTGAAACTTGAAACTTCAAATCGAGCAGCTAATATTTTTATACAACTTAATTAACCAAATTATTCAAGTTCAGGTTTACCAACTCTCTCAATCAATTTTGATGACTCTGTATTTGAAATCTGGGAAAGGATAACTATTGCTGAGAAGGGTGAACAAAAGATAGGTTTTACGACATGCAGGTGGACGAAGAGAAAGTTTCGGGGTGATACTGGTTGTAAGTAATTATATTGCAGATTATATACAAATATACAATTTTGTGGGACTTGATAGCCCCCACAACAGCTACAAAAAAATTGGTCGAAAGTTGTTTTGACAGAACTTCCCTCGCTCTTGTAGTACAATCAAACAGTTTTTTCTTCGCACAATGTTGTAATGACGTCATCCACATTATTGCTACGATACGTATATTAAATTAGATTGGTGCAGTGTAATACTAAAAATAACAGTATTGTATTCCCAAAGTGTTCTGGGAAAATGGGGTGAGTCGTTCCTGATTTAATAAATTTTATTCGACAAAATTTTAAGATGACGTAATCAATTTTTTAGGCGGGTTGAGCAAAAACATTTTGATCAAAAATTTACCATGCTTATGATAACTTTACAACATCTCCAGGATTTCAAAGCATTAGGTTTTGCAGTTCCTGATTAAATCAATAAAATTAATTCATGCATTCAATATCTTTTTGAGGCACCCTGTATAAGCAAATCCAAAAAATATGAATGGAATGATAAATCACAAGTGTTGTCTTACTTTGCACATTTCAGTTAGGATTTATGCGGTAAAACTTTTAGCTGACGTCATCAATTTTTTGGAGGGGATAAGCAAATATATTTTAACTAAAACTTTATTATGCTTTTGATAACTTTTGCAAGATTTCAAAGCATTGGGTTTGACAGATTAAAAATTAAACTGCAAAATGTTACTTTATAAATTTGATTATTTTTATTTCAAAATTCTGGACGTTTCCGGTAAAAACTCAACACAGACTCATAAACTACATATGTAGGACTACGTTAGTTTATACGATCTAAAATCCATTTACTATACCGGCTGTCTGGAAAATGATGGATTAACTCTTCAATGCGTTATATACGGGGTTTCGGGAGTTCCAAAAAAATAATAAAAAAATTCTTTATAATGTAGATTACGAAAAAAACGTGATTTTATAAAAGTAAAATTGGCAACACTGTACACACCTAATGCGTGAATACCTCAGGCTTATCTGGTTTCTTAGTAACGGTGGTGACTGAAATCCACCTTCGCTTTATATCAGGCAAACATTGTTGTCAAGTGGAATTTTATCAAATTATTACAAAAACAACACAGCCATATCTTTGTGCATTCTAACTGAAATGGTAATTAAACATGGTCATGGGCGAGAAAAATATTAACTAAAAATTTTACTACTAGTTATTCTGATAATGAATGAGTTGTTTAGTTGTTAAACGTAGCAAAAGAACCAATTTTAAAATCATTATAACTTCACCAAAATGTGTGAAGGATTTTTTTACTATTTTTCCCAGGCTCACCAGTTGATTGTAAAGAGCGTAGCGGAGAGTTAATCCGCCATTTTCCAGACACCCGGTATATAATTTTTAACTGACGTCATCACATTATTGGTAGGAATGATTAGACAAATTTTGGTTAGCGTTTTACCATCTAAATCATAGTCCTAATATAAATACAAAACTTGACAACAATTGGCCAAGTACTTTCGAAGATTATCTGTCTAATAAAAATCCGGGACGGCAGACAGGCGGACAGACAAACGGAAACAGGAGACCTATTTCTTCGTCCTCTAGGGGTCATGATAGGTCGAGAAAATGCAAAAGTAGAGAGTCGGCCGACGGACTCGATTACAATACTTCCTTTGCTCACGCTCGGGAAGTAAAAAGTATACGAAGTGAGGAAAACAGAAAGAATAGGAGACCAAAACGAACTTGGTAGGATGATATCAAGAATCAGTCAACAAAAAGAAACATTAGATGGGACGAGACCAGGGGGAAGTGGAAAAGTGCAAGAACAAACTCGACTTCGACAGTCTTAAGACTGACAACAGATATACTCGACATTTAAGTAAATCATCTAACATAAATAACTTTTGAATAAAACTGAAATTCCTTATTTTCTTTCAATTTCGTGTTATATTTTTTTCAAAACTCCGAGCTTATGTTCACTAACTTCTCTCATCATTCTAATTTGGAGTCTCCCAAATTCTTTATTTTTGACCTCACGGCTGCTACTAATTCCTAGATCCCACTGCTGACACAAGTACTAGTTGCAACACTTAGCAATCAATATTTTAATTTAAATGAGTTCTTTGACTCTCAACCGACTCTTCACCCGTGTCAACTAACAGATTAATTATTCTTGACACTGAACTCTCTGTTTCTAAGTGTCCTACCGTTCCAACAGAGGCCTCGACGTTCGTTCTGTAAGTCAACAGCATCACAGTGGTCAGTAGATATATTTCCAACAGGAAATCTCACATAACTTAAAACTATAAATAATTAAAAATTGTCTATAGAAACATTATTATGTAAAAGAGTAATTATAGTAACGAAAGTTCAAGTTTATCGAAATCGAATATCCATTATTATTTTTTGAAAAATTTGCGAACAGTGTTTTATTTTTATTTTTTTTTTTTTCAAAATTACACGAAATTCTTACTCACAATATTTTGTAAAAATTTATTAATTTTTAACGGCTAACGATGCAGCATTTATAACAATTAAATTTATATTATTTTTTACAAACCACCAAACATTATTATCATTTATCTTCAACTCTTTTCTTCTGACAAAATTTATTTGTTTTTTAACTTTTTATTGAATTGGTAACGAACCACTAACTAACTAACAAATAATCATGTTTCAATAACGTCCACAGAAGAAAAAGTTTGTTAAACTGACACTTAATAACTATTTCGGTATAAAATCATTTCATAAAAACACTAATAAAAGACAACTATATTAGTAGTGCAATAAAAATACGAAAGTCAGAAATAAAATGATAATACTTATTTCAAAAACGTTTTAAATCATAGCAATAAATACACTACGATTGAAAATAAATCAACTTAGAATTCGCTCGGAAACCAATTGTATAGGTGATACTAATGCACAACTAATACCATTTAGTCAAAAAAAGTTCTCTAGTAGGCCATGAAATTTATTTTTAACATGATGTTGGCAACACCAACGCATTCCTGGTTCGGTTTGACAATCACTGTCAAAAAAAACCTGTCAAATAGCCGAAATACCAACATTATTTTAAAAATGTATTTCATGACCTTTCATTTTCGATCATAAGATGCATCACATTTTTCTGACTGCTGAAAGATGTCAAAAATTAAACATGTGATAAATGCAAAACAAATGTTTTGTCCCTTAATAAAAATATTTTATCGAGAAATCCGACACAATATCAGCACCTTACAAAAAGTGTTTTTTGGAGGTTATCTTGATAATGATTCAGCTCAGATTCAGAGCAGTAGCACCAACCAAAACTTAATATTTAGGTAACGCCAACTCTACTTGATTTTATTTTCGATCACGTGGTATAAGCATCCAAGCGAAAAGATACCGGAATTTTTTACGTGCCTTTTTATTCCATTTTTTTCCTCATGCATATTCCGTGAATATATGCTTTATTTTATTAACAGTTTACATGTTGCTTTTATGGAGTGTTCCTACTAAATACATATGACGAACAAAATTTACAAATTTAGATTGGGTAGTTGTCGCTATGAAATAAATATGTTATTAACGGTTTCGTTGACAATAATCGGTCTTTTAAATACATAAAACATTTAGGAAAAAAAACGAATGAGTACGGTAAATGCCACAAAAACAGGCTTGAATTTTACATGATATTTAAATTTCTTTTTCCATCTTTCTTGCATTAAAAATTTACTTTGGAATAAAAATTTATTTACAAGATTTTGTACAGTTAATCGCACTAGCTGGCAGAATTTAATAACATATTTAAATATTTTTGATTCCTACTTTCAAAATTATGAAATCATTAATTACGATTGTTTTAAATGACAAGAAGATTCAGTTTTGTGTCCTCTTTTAAAAGTCGATAAAATCAATTTTGTTGAAAAACATGGACGACTGCACAAATTTAACAGTATGAACCAAGAATTTTAAATTTTTCTCTGAAAATAAACCAATATGAAAAAAGATTTGGCTGTTGTTTTTAATGCATAACCGGTGTTTTTTCTAAATAAATTAAAATAGGATTCCTGTTTTAAACAATTATTTGTGTGTCACTGTCACAAAGAAGAACTTTTTCGGCCGATGTGAACTTTGAAACCGAAAAAGCTCTCATTTCTTCGGAGATACACACAATGTTTTTTAGGAGACCATTACAGAAAAATAATTGGTTATCTAAGTGGTTTTGAGATTAGGAGATCTTTTTTTCGTTGTAGGAGAAAAATCATGCAGATTTGATAAAATCTAAGCGCTACCTTGCTCCCCTACTAAGAAAAAAATTGATACCTTCATATTTCATAACGATATTCAGAAAGATAACGGCGCTTTTGGCTTTTTCATTTAAAAAAATGTTGGACAAAACATAAGGCCAAGGTCGCAAAAGTAACTTTTCGAAATCTGAGTACAAAAAGTGACACTTTTTGGACGTAACTGGGGACGTAAAACGACTACATTTGTAATGGTCCGCTGAAAATGAAATTTTGTTGGCGTAGTAAGAATAAACTAGAAAACTTTGAGTAAAAAAGGCCAGACTTGTCTCTATGAATGTGTTTGTCAATTCTTGTAATTGAATATTTTCCAGTTTACTCCATATTTTACTGACACGCGGTGTGTTATTTTTTGTTTTTTATATTTGGAACAGCTAGCGATTTTCGAACATTACTAAAAGTGTCATAATCGTTAGTCTCGATCGGCACATCGCTAAATTTAAATTCGCTTTACCGCAAATCGTATAATGAGTCCGAAGTACTTTCCCAAGTTCGCAATCGTTTAAAAACACTTGCAGCAATGTACGCTACAGGAAACTTGGTTTTATCGGTTCCAGCTTTTTTCGAATGGAAATGCTGACAGCGCGAATTGCGAAACTTGTCCACTATTCAGTTACAATTCGTTTTCTGATTGAGAAAGATTGCGTTTTAATCCCGGCCAATTCAGTTCGACTCCTTTTTTGTGTTTTTTTCAGCTCTACCAACTCAGGAAGCTGATGCAGGGTTCGAAAGAAGCACCCAAAGCCCCCTTGGGCAACAACGCCCGTCCGGTCCAGCCGCTCCATCAGAGAACCATCAGAACCAACATCAACTTCAAGAATGCCCAGGTTCGTGTTATTAACGTTAAAAAAGCGGCCTTCTCCCTCGCTTGATTAATTGCGATTTACGCGGAAAGTGACTTTGTGCGGTAGCAATGGCAAAGTTCGTAGTGGTGTTTCTTTGAGAAGTGGTATCTCGGTCACAAATCGCTCCTTATGTTCGTCTAGTCGGTGCTAATGTGCACTTTGCATGCTTGTAGCCAAGACCTGGAGTGATAGATGACTCTCGGTCTCAGGAGAAAGGCTTAGTTAATGGAAGCCCCCCTTTCAGTTCCGGACTCCCGCCGCCGGAATCAGTAATTGAAACTGAGGTGCCGCCGCAGCTATTATAAGCTGCCGACGCGATTATGCTCCGACCGCAAATTGTCGATAATATGGCCACAGTCGTAAATAAATATTTATAATACTGGGGCGGACCGGCCCGAATTGCTCGATTAACTAATTGGGGATGTAATGAGAACGTTTCAAATTTACGGCTTGAGCCTCTGCAACGACGCCACCGAAACGTTAAGTTATTCATCAACTTTTAGAAAGTCGGACGAACTGTTGTGATGATGTCAACAACTTAACGCTGACAGAAATGTCCACAATATTTACCTCAAATTCTTTTTCGTTTCTACAATACCACTTATCATGATGTGATAGGGGAGTTGGAAAAAATTACCGACGTCTTAAATCTATTTTCAAACATGTCTGAAAAGTCTGAGCCAACTTAAGTGAGAATATTTTTTTATCATTAGTGTTATTAGAATAAATTTTCAAGATTAAGACATGGACACCATTTTTAACTCCAAGGTTTTTAAAGCTTACAACACGAGCTTTAAAGTAGTTATTTATCTAGATATATGCGACATTTTTGCTTGTGTTGCATACAAAATGTTTCCTATGATTGTGAAATCAGAAATATGACATACAGGTGTTGGTCATTTAAAGTATATGTAACTTCAATTATGTATCTCATTCGTTCTTCCTAACTGCCTTCACGATACAGACAGCGGATTTCTGTCGGGCTACGTCACGATTATAGGTGGGGACGCGTAAATCGCTGCGAATCAGTAGCGGGTGATAATCAGTGCATTTAATCTTCACTTCTATAAATACAATTAACGAAAACTGAATTCGTAAAACAGCTAAGTAAATGACAACGGGAATTAACAGCAAAAAAGCACCGTTATTCTATTCTAAAATAAACGAAGTGATGCCCGTAACTGCACTGAATTCTCATCCCGCACGAACCATACCGAGTTTGGCCTTACCAGACTCGACAGAAATCCGCTAAATCATGAACCATGAAGTATATTCTAAAATAATGAAAACAACTGTCACCACAACGTACGCAATAAAAAAACTGACGGCAAAAGATATTTGTGGATCCAAAACTAACATTTCTTAAGGTCAGTCCTTACCTTCGGTTAAATACATTTTCAGAATATAACAACCCCATTAGCGGACATAATTGGTAAATTTTAAATATAACTTGTCCACAACTTTCACTATGAAGGTGTCCCAGTTAAAACTCCGCGGCCTAATATCTTGAAAATGAATAGAGCTATTGAAATTCTGTATATCTTTTATGCATCCCCACAAAAAGAAATCTAATAATGGCGTTAAATCTGGGCTGCGAGCTGGCCATGAAGTAGGGCCTCTATTGCAAATCCAGTTTTCATCATAAATGTTGTTTAACTAATCAGTTACTACAAATGTATTGTGAGGTGGTGCTCCGTCTTGCTACAACCATATGTTTTTTCTGGTCTCTAGAGGTGCATTTTCCAACAGCAGCGGTAATTCTTCCTGAAGAAAGTGTAGGGATTTTACGCCAGCGAGTGTATTTTCGAAAAAAATATTTACATTTATAATACCACACCATACATTTATACCCCCAATATTTTGGTTTTTCGTTTCGCGAACCCAATATGGATTAGTGTCTGACCAGCAGTGCGACTTGTATCTATTAAGTACACCATTACTATGAAAACGACTTTCGTCACTGCACATGATTTTTTTCAAAAAATTATTGTCTTCGTATTGTGTAATTAACCAAGCAGTAAATGTTAGTCTTGTGTTTACTAAATCTCCTAATTCTGTACGGTTTAAATTTATTTTCTTTTAAAATTCTTTGAATCAAATTTTTTTAAACATAGCATTCTAACGCTATTTTACGTACAGTCAATTTCATCGCGAGCTGCTGTGGCTTGTCTCTCCGTAAATTTGGACCATATCCAGTTTTTCGGATTTAGAAAATTTTACCATTTTTGACAAAAAGTAAATAAACATTGGTTTTTTGACGTTAAAAATTAACTCTAGCAGTATTATTGTCTTTGTGCATCAGTTTCTCATTGCAATAGATGGCAAACTGATAAATCTCTTCATGCATATAATTCATATTATTTACAGTAACAACTAATGCCACACATGTGAGTATATTATATCATTGTAATCGTAAAGCTTCCACCTTCAAACTAAACACAATGCCGTTTACAGAATTTCAACATCTATGTCCGTTCTCAAGATATTAGGCCGAGGAGTTTTAACTGGGACACCTGTACATATAACGCGAAGACAGTTTCTTAAAGAATAGTTTATCATATTTTTTTATTTTCGTGAAATTTTTGCATCACGTATCTGTAAAAATCAATATCTCAATTATTTAGGAAAATTTCGGAACACGCTTTTCGCCACTGTTTTCAGCCTGAAAAACTCAAGAAATTGCAAAAGAATATTATCGACTTTTTTGTCTAAAATGAGATATAGTAAAAGTAGTTTTTTCGACACAAACTCGAAAATTATAACTGAGATTTTTTTAAACATTATGTGTTAATTAATTAAGATTCAACTTTATTATTACTACCTACATAAAGAGCATAGCTTTATTTATCTCTTCATAAAATATTACAATACATCTTGGCGTTGTTAAAAAATTTCAACTAAATTGAAATGATGTGGCAACGGCGCTTCAAAATTTCAAAAATAAAATATTTTGTAAATTCTGTGAAAAAGATAATCGCTCTAAAAATTAATTAGAGATCAATGAGTGTGTGCTTAGTGATGGCCACATTTATGTAGGGTGAGTCATTAAACCCGCGTCCCTGGATATTTCATTAATTATTAGAAACAGAAAAAAGTAAATACGAAAGTTGTATAGTTCCTTGAGGACTATACGCTCAGATCATTTTCAACTATACAGGGTGTTCTTTTTTTAATTCCAATAAAACCCTCCCATATATGTTTGCATTTTCTAAGTGATTTCTTCTTAGCCTTTATAACCACAATCTATTTTTGAAATTCTATTACGAAGTTGCCACGTTATTCTAATTTTCTTGAAATATTTAGCAGCATTTATAAAAAAATAATTATTACAATTTTCAAATAATATTATAATTCATCAGTTTTTTCAATTGGAACCCTCTGTATTTTCGATATTTAAAGTTTATAGTTATTGTGATTTTTTATTTCTTTGAGAGACACGCCGACATCTCCAAAGAAGAGAAAAACAGATATTTAAAATTGCAACGTTTCATATTTTTTTTATAATATCTCTGCTTATCTTTTCATAAATTATTACTCCTATTTCATTACAAAGTCTAAAAATAACATTATTGCGATGTTTCGGTGAACCCTTGCTTGCTTCAAAAATTCAAGGTAATGGGAATAACTTGGCAACGTTACATCGGAATTTTAAAAATAAACTATGGCTATCAAACTCGAAGAATCCAATGAGAATATGTAAAAATATATAGAGTGCTCTATTAAAAAAAAAATTATTATACGCTACTCAGAAACTCTAAAACTTTATTCTTCATTTTTTTTCTATCGCTATTAATAATAATTAGGTGTATTTAGAAATTAATGAGGTATCGAGGACCGCGTTCTTTCTTAGGATGAACTCTGTGAAAAATTGTGATGACTATTGGCCGAAAATGATTCTTTTTTGATGTGCGTTAACCTGCCAAACAACCTACTTTTAAATAAACCCAGTCGTGGAAAAAAGAGAAGTGCATTATTCAAACTTTTCGAATGAGCGATATTTTTCGGCAAAGTGTAATGGGAGCACATAAAATCGCAAAACTTCCAGACCGTACGTCAAACAGTTACATTTTAGGAGAATTTTCATTCGCAAAACTTGTTTTCCTTAAACCACACAAAAACAAACTCACAAATCATCAGTCCTGATTAAAATAGAATCATGTTGTAGAAAAACATCCAAATTCAAACTCTGTCATTAATTCTGCAACAAAACCTCCGGTCTCCTTCGATTTTTACATAGTCTGTTCCACTATCTTCATCCTTATAAAGCTAAGTCATCATAATATAGCTTGCTTCACATCGTGTTTTATTTAAGGAATAGGACAAAAAAGCTCACTTCGCTCTCTGCAATGCCAAAAAAAAATCTCAGGAACACCTATGTATTCTCCCGTTACTACCTCATTAAACACTTCATGTTTATATAAAGTTCGGAGTGTCTTTCTTTTTCATTTTTAACAGAGAAGCTTAGGTAGAAAAAATACCCTACTGTTTAATTTCGTGTTATTCTGCTAAATTATGTTTAAGACAATAAGGACAACATGTTAAGGCACAGTTTTTTCTTTTGATGTATTTAAGGGGTGTCTTTAATAAAGGTGGATATGAGTTAATTAACCCCTATTAAAAAAATTAAAGCACCTAAAGGGTGGTCCACATTCCGATAATTATTCCCTCCGTTACGTAAGGAACACATACGTCATGATCATTTATCTAAAGTATTCAAGCTCTGAATCGATAAAGTTATCGATAAGCGGAGAATTAGGTTACAACGAGAATTACAAACGACGTGGAGATAAATATGACTGTGTCTTTTGCTCGACTGCACTTTAATCTAGAAAATTCGCGTCTTTTAAAGAAAACGCCTCAAATTGTGTGCTATTTTATGTGACAATATTTCAGTCTGAATTTTGCTCAGGGCTACAATAATAAAATATTAATAATAATCACAAAAGTAACACATTTCTTACCCAAAGTTTGACTCGCAGCACTTTATTTTGTGGTAAGATGATTTTTGTGTCATCATCTATTAGAGAGTCGAATGCCAGGGTTGGAATGCAAATGTCTACTCTCACTCTTACTGTATCTGACACACTGGATAGCTTTCCCTCTCGTACCATTTAAGATGAAGACTGAATTTGCCACATTCATCTAATATTAGTAACCCTTTCAATAAATAATGTAACTATATTCGAAACGAATCTCTTTGAGCGTAACTGTTAGACACATTACTTGGATATTTATGTAATTCCAAGTTGTGAAAGATCAGAGCTTTTGAACGGTTTAAGAGTTCCTTAAAAAAGCTTTGACTTTTAAACGAGCGGTTCTGTTTTTAATAAAAATTCGTTGCAGTAATAACCCCAAATACAACATTAAAAACGCTTGAGGTACAACTTTGACACAAAATCTGACCCTTTAATGCAGGCAGTTGGCGCGTGATCCCAACCTTCTTAAAGATTGCTCTTCTTTCAAAGTTTATTGTGTTAGGAGTAACTGGAAGTAATAAGCATTTTTAAGTCTGTTGTAATTAAAATTAATTATCATTAGGACTTTAATATTCAGTTTAATTTAAAGGCGGTTCAACTCAATAAACTTTTGACCCTTAAATTTTTTGTATTTCCTGGAGTATTTGCTTTATATAAAATCTAACAAAGTAAAGTATTAAAAGTCTAGGGTATTTGTATTAGATTTACCGTCTAGTGTTTAACTAAGTAAATGTAAAAAAGAGATAACTCCTCAGTCTCAGGTACAAAGAAATGGTGTACAGTCTGACTCACTAAACTCGCGATTCTCGATATCTCATTAATTATTATAAAAGGTACAAAAAAGTCGAAGATTAACGTTATACTGTTTTGTTTTAAGTAAAATATACAACTTAGCTTTTGAATGAAACATTATATAGATTTTTACAGGCTTTTATTAACATTTTTTTAGGGTTTGGACTCTATATTTTATTTTCGCACTTCCCATGCGACGTTGTCAAGTAAATCCAATTTTCTTAATTTCTTAACAATACAAAAATTCACGAAAAAAATCACATTAGTGTTACGATAAATAAAGTTATGCTCTTTATCGCAACAAGAATAAAATTGACTGTACACAGAGAGTCAGTTTTTTACATATAACATCCTAATTTATTATTGCATCTTAATTTATCTTTCATTAGCTTTCTTTTTTGTTACCCATTTTCTATATCTTGAGTTGATTGTTCCTCCAATCTTTCACGTTATTAACACTGTAATAATGCACACGATTTTCTGTTTGAAACAATTGAACTATCGATATTTGAAAATTAATGTTAAGGTTTTTACAAACATTCTGTATATTAAAATTCCATTTTATTAATTCCACAAGAAAGTATGTTCCTTTGTTTGATTATAAACATTGCGTCACAGATGTTAAAAATAACTCCATCACCATTTTTTTAACCTTGCATTGTTAAGAAATTAAACAAATAATGGAATAACGTGGCAACACCGTATCGGAATTTCAAGAGTAAAATATGAATGTATAGGGCAGTTTCAAAAAACCAAGAAAGAATTTTATTGTATGCTCATCAAAGTTTCTCTCCTCTTTGTCCTTTTTTCTGTATTTAATAATTAATGAGAGGTAATGGGGCGACCGCTTAGTGACTCATTCTGTATATATAGGTAGGTGCGGACGATCAATAATTTTCGTTATTTGAAAACGATTTTTTTTTTAATATTGTCGGTACATACATATGAATCAAAACATTTACTTACGATATTTTCAGTTTTTTCAATTTTTATTATACTTCTGGTTTAACCGAAATTGAACCCAACTTAATTTATTTTAATGAAACATCTTACAATTTTTTTCGTTTTTGGACGCAAAAAGATACAGTGTGGAATAGCAACAGGATAAAAATTAATATAACATAAAAACTACCTATTGATACAAAAGCAAAATGTCTTTGAACGCAGCGATAATTTTAATTTAAGTTATAACAAATGTTCCATTTGTAAGTTGACATGTTGATAATATCCCAACCGATCATTAAGATATGGCACATTTTCTACAACTCGTAGAAGAATCTGTCTTATCTTTCCTATACGATGTCGCAATTCTTTCAGATATATTTATATACCTTACATTTCCAATGTCCCCACAAGAAAGTCGAGAGTCAAGTCAAAGTAACGATGCAATGCAATAACACCTCTGAGGCCAATCCACCTTACTGAAAATACGTCATTCAAACAATAATTTAAAATGCGGCGGAGCTCCTTCTTGTTGGAATCAAATACTTTCAGCTGGCGTTAGAAGAGCTAATGCGGTTTCATTCCTTAGTAAATTGATAATTTTAATTATCATCTAGAAAAATAGTTCGATTATTTGATTACCTAAAACAATACCGATTCATACATTAATTTTTTTGAGGTGCTGGTTATGAACCGAAAAATCGCATCAAGTAACGAAAATAATTGTACCATATGTATCTTGAAAATACAACCAGTAGTCCAGTTAAATTCAATCTGAATAAAAAGTTCATTGTCAATGATAATAATAATCACGTTTTGATAATCATGTTTTTAATTAGAATTGGTAACGGATTAGTCGAACACGGGGCGTTCCATTTTTTAAATAAAAATTATTGCTTGCAATAATAGATACATTATTCTATATAGGAATCTATTATCAAATTTCTTTTAGACCAACACTTTATCCCAATGGAGCAACGTAGTAAGTCAGGTGAGTTTCTCATTTCCAATCTCTTTTGTTGTTTTTTTTATTAGTCTGGATGAAAGTACTAGATCCAAATAATTCACTTCTATTTTGTTGTATATACCGAGAAAGCAATAAAAAACACAATCAAACACAGCCATGGATTTTTGAAGATTTGTCGTTGATAGAATTTTCGTCTTGTAGATTACCGTCAATTGTTGAAAACGGAGCTATCAAAGACACACCTTTAAAAAGCTATGCTCGTCTTTGATCATGTTTTATTGCTCTCTGGGTACAAGTAGCACGTTTCATTAAACCACATTATCTTCAAAAAGGAAGACCTCCAGTGGGATAGCAAAATTTTATCTGAATGGTATGGTTAAGAAACTTTCATAAACTTTGCAGTGACACTATCATAACTATTGTTTTACTATGACATATAACTGGTCTTCAATTAAAAAAGTCATCAAGTTGGCGCTGCTTTTTTGATAGAAGAAAACGTAGAGAAAAACGCATGTGTTTTATGAAATCATACCGCTTTATACAGTTGATATTTCCGCATTTCAGCTGTCATCGATTAAATTTTAGCGTAATTGTAGACATACTTCACAACGTTGTACAAAAAATCAAAGGCAACTTGATTACTTTTTTAATTGAACAACCGATATATATGTACTTTTTCTCTAAATTTTGTCTGTATAATGTACATTCTAAAAAATAATAATTAACTAGACGTGTAGGTAATTCAGACTGTAAATTCAAAATGGTCCAATATGTTACTAAACTAGGTAAATCTCGTTTAGTGTAAACTGAAAATTTACCTGAAGGAAACAGGAAAACCTCGGTTCATAAAAAAAACGAATAACAAGTTTAATCAAAACACAGATTGTTCACATGTTAACTCACTTACAATTTACTTTGTCTAATTATTTATTATTAGCTATTTACCTACGAACTGCTCTTTTTGGAGTTGATAAAAACCAACATTTGTAAGCAGTTATTACTCTCTTGCTAACAAATTATGGATTCGTTCATTTATTATTCTTAACTATTCCTCACATTATTTTAGATACTTAACTTATATTAGAAGTTTTGTAGATGAGCACGAACATACCAGCTAGTCACTTCGTAAACGTAGGAATTAGCCTAGAATCCCACTTTTACGATTACTATAACTTAAGGCGAAGTTATAACTTTTTACTTCTATAATTTTTTATTTTCCCAGCACACGGACACTTCCCACTTTGAAAAATTTTCTCCCAAAGTTTTTATTTCCAAACTTTAAATTACTTTCAGTTTATTATGTCAATTTTTTCTTAAACGAGAAAACAGCGCGAGCAGTCGAGTTAAACACACTACATTGAAATCGTGAAAAATTAAACAACATACGTGAACGTATAGCGAAAAGGGAACAAGAATATAAAGATAAGAAATCGTCCAGAGGAACGAGAAGACAAGTGACGCTCCTAACTGCAATATCTACAGATATGGGCATTATCGGGCAATGTGTTACAATTTATACGCAGAGACTATTGCCTTTTTCCTTTTCTCCTCCTTATCCCGGCATCTTTTAACTGAAAAATAGATTATACGGCGCAGATAAAATTAGTTTATAATATAATATTTAACGGGATTAAGGCGCGCGTCGTTTAAACTGACACTTTGGGCCGCGTGTTAGCACTGTCGAAAATTACATCAAAGGAATGCAGCGAGATTTAATCCGCACAAAGCGCTCAAAGCTCAGAAACGATTATAACACAGCGTCCCTCTGAAGTTATTGTTATTATTTTATTAATAACTTCTTCGCGGCCGTTTTCCTCACCTGATTAGCAAAGCACGCTATTAGGGCAATTTTCAGCTTATGGTCTAGTTAATTTAAACGAAGGGTTGAAAGAATCGTGTAATTTAAAACAATTTGCTACAACAGTCAAAACAGAACCATTAATTCTGATCTAGATTATTTCATCAGCAAAAGTGAAAATAAATATACTTTTTCATGCTGTTCATAAATCTAATTTTAGAATTGCAATTGCAGAGTTCAATACACTTATCACATCAACCTGATATACCTACAGGATCCAACTTTTGTTTGATATGACTGATTTCTAAAAAATGACTTTAAAACAAAAATTAAAATGACAGGATTTCATCTTTTTAACGTTTAATACTGTCATTGTACAACAGTCTCACCCGGCTAAAATCCTTTATTAATTACTAATTCCGGAGGCTTTGACACCGGTTTTTCACTGTTTGAAATATGAAATATTTTACATCACTGATCTTCAAGGTTTACGTTGAAAAAATTTAAAGTGAACACAGAAACAAAAGATTAATTTTGAGATTGCATAATTCTATATCTGAATTCCACGACAACATCATGTTTCACTGAGGAGCTCTTGAACTTAGCGCCCCACAAAAATTTCGTCATTGATTTTAACCATTACTTTGACGAAACACTTACTCAATTCAGGTTTTATGTTTAACAGGGGATGCAATATCTTCTAATCAACGACAGAAATTCGTTCGGTATTATATTTTCCAATTCATATATTTTCCTTGGTTCTTAATTATGCCTTAGATAGTGTTCACTTGTGGATTCATAAGACACAAGAAGCAACAGAATTATATAAATCTCATTACATGTTCATTGACAGTCTAATGACCTATAAATCTCCAGGGATGTTTCGTTGGTACACGTTATATTGAATAGTCTTCAACAAAACTCTAATTAACACAATTACAAAACCTGAAGTAACTTCGTTTTCAAATTGTGAATAGAGGAGTGCTCTCACGTCTTCGTAGTTTCTGTTCGCTTGAAAGCTCATCAACTTTTCTTCGTTTGTTAAGTTTACCTAAATACCTTGAAAAATCTGTTCTTTTTTGTCTAAATTTCTCCCACGATTCTAAATCATGCTTTTCAACTCATTGCTACATTCTTTCGTAATTTATTTTATAAAGTCTTTGTTTGTTCCTTTCCTTAACGTTGTATTTATATCTCAATGCCTTACCTAAACAGAGAAACTAAACTGTTGTAACTAAGTAGACAAATTTTGAAATAATAAGAATACAATTTTCGGATTATATATTTCTTTTCGGATATTTTGTCCAAATTTTGTGTCTTGTATTTCGTTTTTCTGGAGTAATTTCTGCTCACTTCATTGACTGTCATTAGTTTTTTTAGTTTTTTCAATTTTCATTTCATTTTTTTGTTTCTGTATACCTTCAGCGTCTTTTTCTTCATTGTTTATCTTCTTTATTTATAATTAAGAAAACTAGTTTTTCTCATGCAATACTGAAACAATTTTAAATCTGCTAATAGTTATTCCAACTCCATATTTTAGTAAATAAAAAAAAATCTAAATTATAACTGACAGGTTTAATGTGTATGAACAGAAAATTATCAAGAGACGCAAATATGGAAAAATATTTACATTTATATCAATGGAAGTTTAACTATTTGCTTTTTTATTGTTTTTGCGAAAAATCGATCGCATATAACAAATTTGTAGTCCGATTCGTAAGCGTATAAAAGCTGTTTGCAAATAGTCACACAAAACTGAATTATTTGGGATCAGTGTTCTAATAAATATGTAACACAACATTTTGAAACAAATTTATTTTTCCCGTCTCTAATTCTTTGTGTCTTTCACAATGTACTGGATCGTCATAACCATCTTTGTTCCTCCCTTGGCTGGCTTGCTTGTAAATGAATAGAGTTCATCTTACAAACTAACGAGGCTTCATGTTGAACAGCATTTCTTTTCAACTAGACAATGCTTAAACTATGTGTAATAATTTTGTGTGGCTTTCAAGGATATATTTGGCCAGATCTGCCCTTTCATATTCATTTAAAGTCACATTTTTAAGGAAATTAATAAAATTCATGACAAAAATGTAACATCATATTGTATAAACAGAAACACTAATCTATCTAAAAAAAAAATATAATCGATGTAGCTGCCACTTTCCACTATCGCTGAAAACAACAAATACAACACCCTTTTGACACCAATTTTTTCAAAGGGATTTCGGAATTTTTGGCAAGGGTAAATTAATTAATTTTGATATACATGCTGCAACAACAACGTTAATTTGTTTCTAAAATTTTAAGCGGATCAGATAAATTAATTTTCTCAGGGACCTACGGTGGGGAATTCTAAAGGATGAGATCTGTAAACTTTTCAACTGTTTTTGAGTTACATTAGTCATAATAAATGGTAATCTATCCTTAAACTTTTCAGAAAATCAAGTCAACAGTTTGTAAGATAATCAATATAACATACATTTTGTTTAATGTTGAAATAATTAACAAGATTGGGATAAACAAAATTTTGTTCATTTTCTGTAACAAAATTGGGAAGAAGTCTGCTATGTAACTTTTAAGATAAATTGTAAGTTTTTTTGGTTAGGATAATTATCATACCAACAATTAAAAACTGAGGTAGATATTGAACACAGTAACGGAAAATGGTATTTTGAACATTTAAAAAAGTATCGTAATAATTTACTTGATTATTTCCCTCAGAACATTTTGGTCAATCAAAGCACTGGAATTTTTCAATTTTGACCAAAATTTTGATTTTTTTTTCCAAGTGCACATGATATACAGGGTGTTATTGAAAGGTACGTCCAACAAAATGCACAGTTCTTCGCGAAGTCTAAGAAGTCGGAAAAACTTATTTTGTGTTATCAAAATTATAAGGGGAAAATTAACCCTTATCCAATCTTTTTAGACGCTACTGAAGGATAAATAGGTAAAATTAATTTATTTTAGTAAATCCTAGCAACTGTAACAATAAAACTTTTGTCAAGACTAAATGTTACTATAGAAACGAAAGATGATCTTTTTATCAGAGGCGTACAAGGAATTTGGACATAAATTTTAATAATTTTTATCTCTAAAAGGAAAACACTTTTACTTGAACTTTTTTTAACTTTTAGCACCTATACTTCGAGACCAATTGCCGATTTTATTTTGTACGTACCTTTCAATAACAGGCTGTATATTAAGAAGGACCTCTCTCTAA